AGACACCCCTACAGGATTTGCCACTGCAGGGCCAGCTGGGAAGTGGGCATCCATCAAGAGTTGAAGTCATCCTCTTCAAACCACCAGTACGTGTCCCAGCCATTTTTCTCCGACTCAGCTGTCTACATGCCATGTCGGTTGGGATGCACTGGCCTCCGATTTTGCTCGGGAAAAAACGTACAGGCAGAACGAGAACGAGTCCAGGGCGTGACTTGTTTTGCCTGGATGTTTTCCAGGCGCCCGACGCGGCGTGTAGACAGCCGGGTCGGAGTAAAATAGGGGCTGGGAAACGTACTGGTGGGTTTTGTGGGCATCCGTCGAGGTCTAATGGTACATTGTCCCGGATCGCGCTTGAAGAGGTTGTAGCCTTCTCTGCACAGTTCCACGTTTTCATGGATGTCCTGCAGCACGGGACAGGGTGCTAAGTCCCGCTACCGTCTTCACCCGAACAGAACGCCCGGTCATTACAATTGTATGTGGGGCAATGTTCAGACCAGATGCAGCGAAAATGACCCGGCATTTTTATTTCAGCGAAGATGGTAGCACGGGTTTAGTCTTCCTTTCTGAGTGTTTTCAACGTGGCCGCAGTGCTGTCGTGAAATGTTCAGATCGGATGGCAGGAATCGGTGTGTACTCAAAATAAATCCAGTCTAAGCCGCTATACGCAGTTAACAGGGACCCCCACTTTTCAGCCCCAGTTAACCCCCTCGACCCCGAAAAGTGCATTGGAGATCAACCGCCTCTCGCCGGTAGTGGACTAAGCCCCCTGCCTCTTACCTGGACTTCTGTTTTTTGTATTTAATTAGCTCAGAGGTACTCAGAGTTAGAGCCAGGACTTTTCGCCAACCGATGATCACCCAACAGATCATCCCCCTATAAGCCCAGGCCCGCCCCCGCCAACTCAGGGATGTGCAGGCCCGCACCCACCCCTTCCCCTAGACTCTCCTCCCTATCCGCCCCCCTTCCACCATCCCCAGCAACCCAAACAGGTCTGCTACTCCCCCCCCCTCCTCCCCACTGTGCTTCTAATGACATTTCAATGATACCCCAGAGCCCTGATTGCTGTGCAATGGAAGGTTGCTGAGTGGGGTTATTGGGGTTAAAGCCAATTAAATAAAGATCTGAAAGGCCAGTCGATCTTCAATGCTGACCGAGACGCAAACCAGACTCTTATCCTTTTTTTTTTTTTTTTTTTTTTTTTGATCTAAATGTGAGGGACATACCACTTGGCCTAGCTCAGTTGCGACACCTATGAACTGTTGAAATGCAGACCCGAGTTCGAATCCAGATAGCACCAGATGGCAGATGACCAGAATCAAATCATTCTGAATTACCTCGGGCCGTTCAGTTCAACGATCAATTTTTTTTTATTTTTTATTTTTTATTTTTTTAAACGGGCCCAGTATCTCCAGGACGTCACCCTTTTTCAAAAGAGTATAAAGGGGACTTCGGGGAGAAGGACAAAGGAAAGAAAATGCGAGGGACCTTGGACCCGATTTCCAGCAGGTGATGCTCCCCAACAATAAGCTGGGGCCATCACACAAGGACCCTCCTATGGGAAAGTGCTCATATCACCCCCTCTAGTATGAATCCCAACCGGATGTTTCTGATTAAAAAAAGAAAGAGAAAAAAAGGCTGCACTTATCTGCATTATGAGAGAGCGCCTCACCACAGCACTCGAAAACCGGAAAAAAATTGTGAGTGCATCTTCCCGCAGAAGATGGCAAGATACATCCACATATAGCATGCATACGACACATACCACATCTCTTAGTCCAGACGAGTGCCTCCCGAGGCGAGGTCCTACTAGCAAAGAGGATTGGATTTCACACCTGAATCTGGACGTGTCTGGGGAGAGGTGCAGAAAATCGCGATTGAACTGCTTTTCTGCAGGTGCTTAGTCCAGATGCAGGCGCTTAGACCAATCCTCTTTGCTAGTGGACCGTGCCGCAGAGGGAGGAGCCAGCATTCACTCAGAAATTGCCTGATCGAACAGGTTTTTTTTGTGTGCTTTTTAATGTTTCGCCTTTTTTGTTTTTTGACTCAACATGAAGTCCCATGTCAAACTTTTCTCTTCTTTTTCCTTTCCTTGTCTGTTCGGCTTTCTGAACTCGTGCTTCAGAATTGGTTGGACTGGTTGGTTGATTGGCCATGTGGTTGATCGTTGTGGTTGTGGTTGATTGGCGACGCCGATTCAGTACTTGATGGGGTAGTTGATTGGCTGCAGCCTGCAGGGTGCTGCCCACCTGGCTCATTGTTTGGATACTTAGTTGACTCGGTCTATTGGTTGATTGATTGGTTGGCTGGTGGGATGGTGGATTGATTGATTTTTATTTATTTATTTATTTATTTATATTTTTTTGGGAACAATGCTCCAATCTATTCGTGGGGAGCTGCACGTGCTGGGAACCGGGCCCAGCGTCCCATTTGAAACATGAAACATGTTTGAGAACATATACAGAAAAACTTTGAGATACCGGGACTCTTACCCGGTTTTGTCTGAAAATAGGATCATGATGAATTACTAGCCTATTCGATGAAGAACCCCACGAGATAGGCTAAAATTCAGAAAGGTTTGAAAAAATCTGAAAGAATACGAGGAGAAACAATATGAGAAGTTTCCTTCTACACTGCACAAATTCTGAACTTTTTAAGAAAAGATCGCCACCACAACGATCCTACAAATGCTCAAAACCCTCAGAATCCCTAGCAATCCCTTCTAAAATTCTTCCAACAGTGTCTTACTCCCTGCGGGGTTCTTCCAGGCCTCATACCCCCACCCTCTTGGGTTACAGGGCAACACGACTAACCCCAGCTCCGACCAGCGTCGTCCCAGCAGCAACCCTTAGTTGTCCCCTGGAATGCCCACCCCAAAGCATTCCTAGATCTCTCTATCAGGCCTCACACTCCTGCATCAGCAGGTTACAGGGCAACACCCCAGTACCGGCCAGCGTCATTCTGGCATTGGACAGCCGCAGATCACTGAGTATAACAGCAATGGAGCCTCCTAAAATGAGTTGCTAGGAGTCCCCAGAATCACAAATCATTTGTAAGACCACCATTGACGACCATGTTTTTTTAGAACTATTGAAGAAATTCAAGAGAATTAAAGGAGAGGTTAAAAAACTACGAATGACTACTCACCTCTTTTCGAATGCTCAGAACCCCTAGACTTCCAAACAAAACTCTCTAAAACTGTCCAACACTGTCTTATTCCCTGTCGAGCTCTCCCAGGCCTCACACCCCCACCTGGCTAGGTTACAGAGCGACACGACTCGACCCAGCTCCGGCCAGCATCGTCCCAACAGCTACCCTTGGTTGTCCGTTGGAATGCCCACCCCAAAGCATCCCCAGATCTCTCTACTAGGCCTCACGCTCCTGCAATCAGCAGGTTACAGGGCAACACCCCAGCACCGGCCAGCGTCGTTCTGGCATCGAACAACCCCAAGTCCATGAACGCATCAGTATCAAACGGCCTAAAGCGAGTTGCTAGAAGTCCCCAGAATCCTAAAACATTCTCTCTTTTTTTTAACAAAATTCAATGCTATTTGAGGTAAATTTGGGAGACTATCCACCAGCGAAAATCCCAGCAATTGTCTTCAAACACTCTAAAGCGCCACAGGGTCCTAACACCCTCGAAGTCCTCAGACACTGTCATTAGGTGGTTGATTGATTGATTGTGTGGCCGCTGTTTGCGATGGACATGCATGCAGTTGAGTGTCTGGTTGATTGATAGTTCGATTCATTTATTCGTTCAGTCTCTAAGGGATCCTCTTGCTAATATTTATCAAATCAACACAGGACTTCCCTTGGGATTGATCCATCCAAGTAATGTAAATGAATGTTTTCCCGATATAGCTGGATGCACACTCTAATCTTACGATTAGAGGGGACACCTTTGGCCGTGTTTTGTTAGAGCCCGGCCGGATCTATCTAATCCTGTTTGCTCCCCATGCTTTCACACCTCAGCGTGAACCAAAAATGATTTTGCCTAAACAAATAAAAAGGATATGCAAAAATAAACTAGTTTGGACTGAATTAACACAAATATGGCGAAGTGACAATAATCGCGTAAAAGGTTTTTTTTTDAATTCAGTAAATGGAGGCTACGCTGTAGCAATTGCAGGTCATATAGCTTTTCTTCCTAAGAGTCTTCGAAAAAGTCGAAAAGTTTTTCATAGTCAATTGAGAATGTTCTCAATCTTAAAAATGAATCCAAAAATTTTGAATATCGTAGTCAAAGAAATTGGCGAACAATCACGAAAAAAAACAACAAAAAAGTACAAAAAAAAAAGCCTCAATTAGATCAATTTACATATTTCACGCAATTCCTTTGGTTATGTGTATTTTATTTGAGTTTTTATGTGTTATTATGTAATGATGGATTACCAAAAATATTGATCGATTATGCGTCTATTTGAAATGGACATGCATGCAGTTGGCTGCCTAGTTGATTGATTGATTGATTAGGTACTGGATTGACATCAGGTGATTGATTGATGTATTGATTAGGTGGTTGATTGATTGATTGATGTATTGATTAGGTGGTTGATTGATTGATTGATTGATTGATTGATGTATTGATTAGGTGGTTGATTGATTGATTGATGTATTGATTAGGTGGTTGATTGATTGATTGATGTATTGATTAGGTGGTTGATTGATTGATTGGTGTATTGATTAGGTGGTTGATTGATTGATTGATGTATTGATTAGGTGGTTGATTGATTGATTGATTGATTGATTGATGTATTGATTAGGTGGTTGATTGATTGTTTGATGTATTGATTAGGTGGTTGATTGATTGGTTGATGTATTGATTAGGTGGTTGATTGATTGATTATGTGTCTGTTGGAAACGGACATACATGCAGTTGACTGGCTGGTTGAATGACAGATTCATTCATTAATTGGTCACATGTCTGTTTGCAATGCAGAGCTATCAGGGCAGCAAAGCTGGAGCTGGCGACGAAGCATCGGATCCTGCGCTTATTAGCAGATGGCTTCTTTTCATGGAAAGCGGACACATCAGCAGTGGCCGACCCATCGTCACGTCTCCGACGACACTCAATCCCTTCACTCTCACCATCCACTGATCCCGATCCAAATCCTCACAGTGGTGACGATACCATTCGCATGCATGAACACGTGCCTCGACAACAAGAATTTTCTCAGGCTTGTGCAAAACTGGATTGCCGCCACTGTGGTGTCGGCCATCAACGCCACGCGCACACCACAAACAGAGGGGCATCTCTAAAGCAAAACGCCAAAACCCCAAAAGCCAAAGATTCGCCGTCATCTTCATCGCCACCCACCTTGTCTGCTGAGTCAGATTGGATAGAGTCACACTTTTTATCCACCACCTCAGATGCAGGAGCAGATGGAGCAGGAGGAGGAGGAGAAGGCAGAGGAGGAGGAGGTGAAGGAGAAGGCAGACGAGGAGGAGAAGGTAGAGGACGAGCCAGAGGAGAAGGAGGGGCAGGAGGAGGAGGAAGGGGAGAAGGAGAACGGCGAGCAGCATCAGTGTTTATAAGATCCCCGACCTTCTCTTGCCTCTTTGATCCGATGCCTCTGCAATCTTCTTCCTTGGCATGCAGAAAAGATGTGGACATTAGAACTGTGGGTAGGAGGAGGAGGAGGAGGAGGAGGATTTGCTGCGATTCTAAAAATAGACTTCTGGTGGGCCCTTTTGTTGTCAACAAAAAGTCTCTGCGAGGCAGACATTATCATACCAGGTACAACCTCAGGGGGAAGCTGTCATCATCATCATCATCATCAACAGCAGCCCAATCACCAAACTCGAAGTCTACGGAATGCGATGATACTGTGGTTACTACACCTGCAGAGAACAACAAAGGGATGGGAGGAGGAGGAGGAGGGACATATGTTGCTCCCGGCAAGCAGCCAGTGAGAGGAAGTGAGACGTGTGTGAAAAAAGCGATGAGACAATCCCTTTCCTTGACAAAGAGTTGCTGTAAAGGGAAAGAAAATCATAGTAATACACTGACAATCTCCGCAGGAAGAGTGCGACCGGTAGCACGAGGAGTCGTACAGGTACCGACCCGAGAAGTACTGGTACCGCGCCAGGAGGTACCTGTAGCGAGTCGAGACGTACTGGTGGCGAGCCAAGAGGCACCGGTAGTGAGTCGAGAGGCACCAGTAGCGAGACAAGAAGATCGTGTGGTCTGCAAGAAGGCACATGGGCAGAGAGAAAAAGGTACAAGCGTTGATTTTAAATTGGTGTCAACAAGCGAGGAGTACCAGGCTCTTGATGAAGACAGAGCGCCTCACAAAAGGGACGAAGTCGACAAAAGCGAGGAGTACCAGGCTCTTGATGAACCAGAGGGTGGGGCCATGTGTGGGAGCGGAGGGACTCACAAAAGAGATTACTACAACAAACAGCAGCGGGCAGAACGTGCTCGTCGACTGCTTGGGCCTTCGAGGACAACATGGACGGCAAGGAAAAGGACTAGTCGGAGTAGGGGTCGGAGTCGAAGTCGGAGTTGGAGTAGGAGGGGGACGGGAAGGAGGAGGAGGAGGGAGGGTGCTGGTGAATCTTCAGAATCGGATCTGATTTCGATCTCCACAGTCGAGACTGGATGGTCATGTGATCCGTGGGCTGACCTTCAATCAGAATCGGGATCGATATCGGGATGGTCATCTGAAGTGTGCTTGAAGAGTGACATGCGCGGGAAAGGACATCCGGAGTCTAAGACGGATGTGGTGGAAGGAAGGAGACATGTGGCAGCTTCTCCAGGCAAGGTGTTCCTGAGTAAGCCACGTGTCAGGTCTGCAAAGGCTCGGTTGAACTCGGTGAACTCTTCCTCGCGACAGGGAGAACTGGAGTCTTGTCGGGGTAGGAGAGAGGGAAGAAGCCCCAATAGATTGGCCATTCGCCAGCAAAGCCAGTCGATAGAGCGCAGATGTGAACACTCTGACACTGAAAGGCTTACTCAAGATTGCTTTCCGACGTCTTCTTCACCTGCCAAACACCGGTTTGTGTCCTCTAAGATAGATTGTCAAGGGAAAAGCAGCAGCTATGTTCAAAGAGGAGTAGCCTCTACACAAGTACCTGAATATCATTATATGGAGAGAGAAGGGAGAGTGAGCAGACTCAAAAAGGAACGACGACCGATGATCTTCCCTGGCCAGCTGAGGGGGCTGCTGTCAAGAAAGACCTGCAAAGGGTCGTCTTTATCTTCTTCAGAAACTGAGAATAGCGAGAAATACCCTTTTGACTCTTTGCAAGCCTTTGTCGACAGCTACTGCCCCCGAGCAGTGAAAAGAAGAAACCCTTGTTCGACTCCCTCTTCAACCGAGAGGAGGAGAGGGAGAAGTCCTCTGAGAAAAGAGAGCACAAGCAGCTGGCGATGGAGAGGTAACAGGTGTGAGAATGATCCTCGGGATTCTTTTGAGTCCGTACAGACTGCAAAGACAGGATATGGTGCTTGCTCGAGGACCGGACGATCTCCTTCACGGAATCTGTCGACAGGAGGAGGAGGAGGAGGAGGAGGAGGAGGAGGAGGAGGAGGAGGGTTGCAAAACCCACGCTCACCACTCGATAAGACGTCTTCAGCGTACAGGTTAGCAAAACTTCAGAAAGTCAAATGCATCCCTTCTTCTTCTTCTTCTTCCCGCCCTCCTCCTCCTCCTCCCTCCTCGTCCTCTTTGTCTTCTTTTTCTTTTTCTTCTTCTTCTTCTTCTCCTTGTGGTGCTGCGGCGGCTGCCACTGCTGCTGATGATGGTGAGGAGCAGGAGGAGGAGGAGGACAAGGAGGATATTGCTGCTGCATCAATGTCAGCTGGCTTTTCGTCCGGGTCTTCATGGGCTGTCTTTCCATCTGGAAGGTGTTGTGCTGGAGGAAGTGGGAACGGAATGCCCTCTGAGGTCGCGGCATCCGCTAACGGCGCCAAGTTTACAACTGTTTTGAATTCCTCAATGGCAGAGAAGGCTGATAACACCACCTCTGACGAGTTCGTCGAGATGCCGACATTTCAGCGAGAAAGCGGAGAACTTTCAAAGGTTTCAGGGAAGATGTTGAGAGGAGCTTCACATCCTCCTTGCCGAGAAAGGGGACAGTTTGCACATGGTTCGCAATCTCATTTCAAAGGAGGAGGTCTAAGGGAAGACTTTGACAGAGGTTTGGCATCCTCGTCGCCGAGACAACGATTGGCGGAAAGGTTGTTGTCAACGTTTACTTCGCAACACCTCCCTTCGTCCTCAACCAATGGGAGCAGAGGCACGTGCTCTGAAGATGTCTTGCTTGAGAGGAAGGTCGGTGCGACGACTCCTCGAAGACGAAGAAGAGGAAATGGAAAACACCCAATGTCTCCTCGAAGCAGAGAATGTGGAAGGCGTCCAGGTTCTCCTCCCACCAGAAGAACAGGAAGTGGGAGAATTCCAGCTTCTCCTCCGAGTCAAAGAAGAGGAAGTGGAAAATAGGCAGTTTCTTCCCCAAGGAGTGGAAAATATCCAGTTTTTTTCCCTCCAAAAAGAAGTGGAAAATCTGCAGTTTCTTGTGCAAGAAACGGAAGTGGAAAATGCCCAGCTTCTCCTCCGAGTCGAAGAAGAGGTGGCCGAAAATAGCCAGTGTCAAAGAAGAGGGAAGTGGAACATATCCACTTTTTTCCCTGAAAGCTAAGCTATATTCTTCTCTTCTCTCAATTTCACCTTTCAGTACCAACCTACCACCCCTCCTAAGCCTATACAAGGGACCCCTGCAAGCATAGTTTGCCTCTCCCAATCGAGGGGATGAATGTTGCCCACCGTCCTAATCCCAGTGGTAGTCAGGGAGTAGGGTGGGCTGCTGGTGGTGGGGGGGGAGGAGGGGGGCGGTTAATGCAAGACTGAGCATTTTGCCAGTAGCTGCGCCTCCCATCTACTTCCCCCACCCGATCGTGTAACAGCAGTGTCGAGGCCCGGAAAATATCCAGTCTTCCCCCGAGAGAAAGTGGAAAATATCCAGTCTGTCCTCCAAGAAGAGGTGAAAAAGATGCAGTTTCGCCCGCAAGACTAGGATTCCAGTAGAAAATATCCACTTTCTCCTCCACGAAGAGGAAGTGGAAAATGCCCAGATTCCCCTGCAAGAACAGGAAGGGGGGAATTTCTGGCTTGTGCTCCAAACAGGTAGGTACTCAAAGTCACGCATAAGCGGAGCTGCATCGTTGCAGTGACATTCCCTTAAATGATCGACCATCTTTATTGTGCTTATCATCATCATCATCATCA